AAAATTACCAAATTACCAAATTATTACCAAATTACCAAATTACCAAATTACCAAATTACCAAATTACCAAATTACCAAATTACCAAATTACCAAATTACCAAATTACCAAATTACCAAATTACCAAATTACCAAATTACCAAATTACCAAATTACCAAATTACCAAATTACCAAATTACCAAATTACCAAATTACCAAATTACCAAATTACCAAATTACCAAATTACCAAATTACCAAATTACCAAATTACCAAGTGTCCACATCTCCAATTCCCCAAATCCCTAAATACTCAAATCTCCAAATCCCTAAATCCCTAAATACCTAAATATCTAACTACCCAAATACCTAAATCCCCCAATCCCCAAATACCCAACTCCAAAAAAACCCCTAAATTCACCAAATTCCCCAAATTCCCATGTCCCAAGTTTCAATAAAATCTGCACCCTATGTCTCAAAACAAACCAAATACCTACCCAAACCCCCATCTAACAGAAATCCCTAAAAAACCAAATCCACTCACAAAACCCCATTCGTCATCACACAATAAACACAGCTTAGCATCTCATAAATGCACCAAGGTGCATTCACCTCGTGCCCCAAAAATGGACACATACTCCAAAGAACGATAGACTCGCATTCCCCACATTCCCTAACGAAGTTAAAGCTAAGTCCCCATTTACAGACACCCTGGCGGAGTTCAAGCTAGTGTTCTACGGGACGGAGACGTCGCTGGAGGTGGACGAGGAGCTGGACAAGGACAAACCACTGCCTCCGGTGAACCAACAAGACGCGAGCCAGGACAACACCGCGATGGGCGCCCGCCACAACATCATGGACCCCGAGAGCGACCCGTGGACCGGCAGCCAGCAAGTGGAGCGAGTGTCGCACCCTGAGGTCCAGAGACCCACGACGGAGAACCAGACGAGCGGCTGCGGCTCCGTCGACTCTGCAAGTGGCAGGTGCCTAGGTGGGTGCCTCATTCTACTCGTTCTAGCCTACCTAATCAGTGGAGCCAGCTGGTGTGAGCAGTTGTCCAGCTGGCCGAGTGTCCTCGAGGTGTCGACGCGCACCTCGAACGACAGAAAGTTCGTGTTCAAGGTGAACTCGACGACGGTCAGGTCGTCAGGGAGCCAGTGTTCATGATGACGTCCCTGGACGACCGGCGTTTAACCGGAAGCCAGCCGAACGGTTCCTTCGAACTCTGTGCGTTGTGTGAGTCCCCCTAATACGTGAACTCCGAGGAACATCGAGTTTCGAATGTCCGGGTGCTTTTCAGTGTGGACGTCCAAATCTCGGTTAGGGTTTAGGGTTCGAGTGTCGTGATCAGACGCGAGTGTTGCTTCTGGACAGTTCGAGGTAGCCCGATGATCGGAAGGAAATCGATCGTCCCCTTTGAATATGCGGCCTTGTGATTTTTCATCGCCATGAATTATTCAGAATGGAGATTCCTGACACCACGTGTTTCGCGGAAACGATACCGATTATCATTTCCATACAGCGGCGAGAGTAACGAGCGCACCGTTCCTTTGATACGTTTTACGGATAACGGGTGTAGTAACTTCTCGCTGGGATTCTGTTGGAGAAATGGGTATTACGGTGGTTGATCTCGATTTTCTTCGGGTTCGATCGGGCTGGCGGAGACAGGGCTGGACCTGGAACTCGGTGTACGCGCCTTTGGGGTGCGAGGGATTTTCACTGTGGGGAAGATCATGTACCTTCCAATGCAAAAGATACTTAGAAATTTTCGATATTGAACTTGAAATTTTGATCTTTCTTTTTTCACTTTTAGGGGCACAGGATTGCTAAGTTCATACATCTTTAAATTCCCAGATTCAAAAATTACTAACTTAGCCAATTTTTACATTTGTCAAATCCTAGATTTCTAGATTCCTGTCACCCTAATTCACTAGAAACCTACATACCTGTTTGCTTCGATCTCTAGATCCATAAAATCACCAAATCCTGAAATCCGTAAAATTCAAAATGCCTAGATCGTGAGATCCCCAGGTCACCCAAATACCTAATTCCCCAAAATTCCAAAATCCCAAAATCCCTAGATCTCGAAATCCCTAGATTCAAAAACCCTAAATTCAGAAATCCCTAGATTCCGAAATCTCTAAATTTCAAAATTCCTATATTCCAAAATTACAAGATTGCAAAATCCCTAAATTGTTAAATCCCTAGATTCAGAAATCCATAGATTCAAAAATCCCTAGATTCCGAACTACCTATATTCCAAAATCCCTAGATCTCGAAATCCCTAAATTCAAAAACCCTAAATTCGAAAATCCCTAGATTCCGAAATCCATAAATCTCAAAATTCCTATATTCTAAAATTACAAGATTGCAAAATCCCTAAATTGTTAAAATCCTAGATTCAAAAATCCCTAGATTCCGAACTACCTATATTCCAAAATTCTAATACCGCAAAATACCTAGATCTTGAAATCCCTAAATTGATAAATCCCTAGATTCAGAAATCCCTATATTCCAAAATTCCAATATCCCAAAATCCCTAGATCTTGAAATCCCTAAATTGATAAATCCCTAGATTCAGAAATCCCCAAATTCCAAAATTCCAACGTCCCAAAATCCCCAGATCTCAAAATCCCTAGATCCACAAATTTATAGATCCCAAAATGCCTAGATCTAAAAATCCAAAGATCCTAAGACCCGAAATCCCTAGTGCCCAAAATCCCTGGATCCAAAAATCCCTAGATCCCAAAATCCTTAAGTCCCAAAAATTCCTAGATTCCAAAGTCCTCAGATCCCTAATTCTCTAGACTCCAAAGTTCTCAGATTCCTAATTCCCTAGATTCCAAAATCCCTAGATTCCTAATTCCTAAATCCCTACATTCCAAAATTTCTTGATCCGTAAATTTCCAAATTCCTAAGTTTCTAACTTCCCAGTTTTCAAAATTTCCAAAACACTATTTAAATTCTCTATAAATCCACTATAACAGCAAATAAAGTTTCTCGGCAATATAATGGAAGCGTACCTGTCTCGCCCCACATACAAATCCCATTTACGGCACTGCGTCGATCCGGAACAGAAACTAGCATGGAAACGTGAACCACGTTCGATTTGCCGTTCCGCGTTATTTAGAAATATCTCACGACACTTTTCTACGAAATGTAAAGAAACCTACTCGCGAAACTGCCACTAAAGGAGGATCGAATCGGAGGGAATCCTTCTGAAAACTCGAACGCGATATATCTGCCTCGATTCCTCGCGTATTCCGCAGCACACACATTTGCGATCCTGGAAAAAATTGCCTCGCGTAACTGATAGTGTTTACTACATCGACGATAAAATCGCATTCCGCGAATTCGTTCCCGTTCGAATTCCCTAAAAAAGCCAATTAATTAGCGGAAGCTGCTCGATCGGGGAAATAGGTATCTACGTCGAATAATAAGAGTTCAGCGGGACATAATTGCTGTTTAAATTTCGCGATTAATATTCGATTATTGCTTGTACAAAGTGTTAATTGCTTCGTACGTTCGACGAATAATTGCTGTTCGTCTGTATTATTATACAGGAGAGGGAGGACAACAGGTAAACATAATTCATGAAAAAGAACAAAATATTTTAATAGTCTCGAATGTGATGTTAAGACGTTTATGTAGTATTGTTGATCTTATTAGTTTCTCTTACAAGAATACCTTATATTAACACGTTTAATGAGCTTTCACGTTGACAGGAAATTATCATGAAGCATTCTGTGTATTGATTGTGTAGGTCGGTAGTTTAAATTCCTTCATATCATTTTTGTTATATTTTTCTCTTTGCGTTTAATTGTCTTTATATTATTGTTTTTCAAAAATTATTTACGGATGAAAATTATATTTGGTACATCTGTAATCAATTATTAATTGCACCGTAAAATATTTTAATGATTACACGCAATGATATAACATATTAGTTAATTGCAATATAATTTATTTATCTCCGTTAACATGACTCTATCGACCAGCTAAATTAATGATTAATCATCAATTAGTACCATATAAATACACGAATAATTTTGCTTGTCTGATAAATATTAAAACTTGTGTTAATAAATGTGCATGAATCATTTTATAATTATTACGTGTAATTTTCGAGCAAACTCCATAATTAAAAATTTTGGAAAATGAAGAGAATTGTATTTTACAATACAGAATTAAATGCAACGCAATGAAAATGAGGAAGTTAAATTTAAAGCTACGTTGAAAACAATACACACGAAAGTTTGTAATAACAAAATCTGTCGGCGCATGAAAGCTCATTAAAATTGGGGAAGATGAAACGTAACCTCAACATAGAATAATTCATCCGCCTCTTTCATCATTTTTATCGTGTTCCATTCCTGTTCCCCTTGTTCGTTTTCGCTGGGAACATTTCGTTTTTATCTTTCCGCTTCTTCCTTTTTTACGCATCCCGTTTTCCCTCTGTCTCTTTTTCTCTGTTTCTCGTTGCTGACAAACTTTCGCCCGCGTTTTCTTCCGACAACTTTGCTTACCCAGAGGGTGAACACCAGCTGGGCTATCAGCACTGCCGAAACAAAAAGATAACGGAGCGCTTACGAGCGACCGACAAGGAGAGAACAAATAATATCTACATTTGCAAAAATCAGCGAGAAACTCGACTCTCTTGCGTACCGATGCCAATCCACGAGTTGGCGCGCGGTTGACTTGAAGAGCCACGGGCTCCGATTGGTCAGAGTAGAAAAGCGCCTCACGTATTTTCAGCGGAATTGGCTCTCGCGGTCACGCAATTAGGCGAAAAACAATGACAGTCGACAAACGTCTCTCGAGTGAGCGAGATAGCGCGAATTGCGTTCGGCAGTTGTTATTGTCATTATTATTCTTATGCGCCTGTATGTAACGCTGGAAGCGTTCACGGTGGGGATAGAGCTTCTTTTACTTTGGGTCCTCACGCGCCAACTCGTGGGTTGACATCCGTACGTAAATTATCACGCCTAAATTGAAAATTCACGCGTACCAAAAATACGAGAAAAATTGACAATATTTGAACTCGAGTGCGTCACGAGTGCGTCATAGCTCACGCGCCAACTCGTGGGACATCCGTACGTAAATTATCACGCCTAAATTGAAAATTCACGCGTACCAAAAATACGAGAAAAATTGACAATATTCGAACTGCGAGTGCGTCATCGCTCAACTCGTGGGTTGGCATCGGTACTTTGTAAACGCAACCGCGTTGTCTCGCTAAATTGCCGACTCCCGACTGATATTTCATGAATTTCGTCCAGCAACACGATTATCCTGCAAAACAGCCGATTGCTGGGAAATCGTGATACAGAGAACACGATCAAAGTTTCATGAAGAACGAACACGCAGAACGAAATGAAATTTCCTGCGGAATTAACGTACAATACCAACGACACTGAGTTTTATCACTTTAAATCGACAACGTTCAACAGTTTTATTTTGAGCGGAATATTAAAATGGAATTCCGGATTAAAAATGGAGATTGAGTGATAGAAGTGAAAGTTTCGGATAATTTGTCGTATAAAACTGAAGATGAACTGAACATGAATGACAATGAACTGATTATGGTTGGAGTGATGATAGAGTTGGATGGAGTTGGGGTATTTATTGAATTTGCAGAGAAATTATGATTGCAAAGGAAGGTTTGCGGTACAAAATTTTTGGACGATACAATTTTTTTGCTGGAGTAATTTATTATTTTTGTGAAAATTTGGAATGAAAATTGGGTAGCATGTGCGGTGACACCAAAATTCCTATGTTTACAAATTTTCAATTATCAAATTTCTTAATTTTCAAATTATCAAAGTTCCACATTTTCAAGCTACCAAATTTGTAAATTTTCCAATTACCAAATTTCCAAATTTTCAAGCTATCAAATTTCTAAATTTCCTAGTTACCAAATATCTAAATTTTCAAGCTACCAAATTTCTAAATTTTCAAGCTACCAAATTGCTAAATTTTCAAATTTGTCAA